CAAAGAGCAATCAGGGTTCCCTGCCCTGTGGGAAGTCCAAGGACCACCCACCTCCATCCAGGTCTAGTAAGGTGAGCATCCAAACTGCCTAGGCTCCCACAAAGCCAGTACGTGCAGTAGGATCAAAAACCCATTGTCATTGTTCTTGGGTTCTCAGTAGTCCTCATTGTCTGCTATGTTCAGCAAGTCCAGTTTTATCCAGAAATCTCAAGGTCCAAATCAAGAGCAGAAGGAGAGAGAGCATGAGCAAGGAACTCAGGACCGCGAGGGGTGCACCCACACACTGAGACAATGGGGATGTTCTATTGGGAACTCACCAAGGCCAGCTGGCCTGGGTCTGAAAAAGCCTGGGATAAAACCGGACTTGTTGATTAGGTTTTCTATTGTGGTGAAGGGACCTTGATCATGGCATGGTGTCCTAGCTTTTCTTATAAAGGAAAACATTTAATAGTTCTGTCTTACAGCTCAGAGGTTCAGCCTGTTATTGTCATAACAGGAAGCATGGTGGCATGAAGGCAGACATGTAGTTGGAGGAGCCGAGAATGTTACATCTTGATTTGAGGCAGCAGGGAATGAAAGCCAAACTGGATTAAATAAGATGTTGCATAGGTTGCTTACATGGTCTTGAGCATCTGAGAGCTCAAAGACCACAAACATAGTGACACACTTCCACCAGCAAGTCCACACAGACAAGAAGACCACACCTCCCTATTGGCCAAGCATTCAAACACCTGAGTCTATGGGGTCATTTCTATTCAAACCACCTCACTCGCTTTATTTTTTCTCTGCCATTCATGATGTTTCTGTCACTCTTATCACTGAAGTCTGCTATTTCCTCTAAGCTCTTGTCTTCCTCATTCCTTCATCTGAAATCTTCTTCTAGCCATCCCTGCTGTATGCAATCACTAGCTATTAAGGGTCCTTAGTACTTGATTTGCAGTTGCTTTTCTTTAATTTTCTCCAGTGTTTTCTTTCAGTTTCACCATTCATCGGTTGGCTGCAAAATCATTGATTCAGACCAAGGACTTGGGCTCCCATGAGACTTCAAAAGGAGAAGTGAGGGATGTGGTGAATATCAGCATTCAGTCTGGGGTCCTCAGCTCCTTCACAGCTTTCATTGCCATAAACAAGGAGCTCAATCAGCCAGTGCAGGGGCCTCTGACTCCCAGAGTGATTCCAACACCACGTTAGTATGATTCTTTGCCTACAATGGGATGTGCAGTTAGGTCTCGTAAGTTTTACCCAAATTTAAACTCATTTATAATGATTATCAGATATATAAGTACATTATATAAACAATGATAAGTTTTAGAAACTCATACATTTAAATTTAATAACATTTCTTAAATTTGTTGTTTTCTTCTTCCTTCTACACCTAGGATTTACACTGCCTTAAATTTTCTAGAGAAGTAGATTGTGTCCAACTGGGACAGAGATTTACTATAGACATACAGAAGAATATCAGAACATGTTACAATGCAGAAGCATCACAAATACTGAATAATCAAAACTTTTAATTTGAATCTGACTTCTGTTTTGATGGTTAGTGAGTAGCCACACAGATAGTGAGTATATTGCATCTGATGATGTTAGTGGTAGAAGAGGGGATTTAAGAAAGGAGGAGATCTAAAGGAGATAAAGGGGATTTTTAGGAAATGAAAAACAACAAAGCAAAATACACAAAGTTATAGCATCATTTTTCTGGGATTGCAGAGGGTCCAATTGCATTTGGTGCCTTTTTTCAGCAGGCAGAAGCTCTGAATTAGAATATTGGGTTTTCTGAATAATTTGCAGCAGGTTCATCAACATTGGCTTAAGAATGAAGTGGGTAGAGGGTTGAAGTGATTTCTAATGTGAGACTTTGATATATTTCTCATGATTAAAAATTATGGGTGTGATTGCAGATATTTATGATGGAAGATTTGCTTGACTGAAGATTAAGTTAAATGAAATATAAAATTTGAAGGATGCTGATGTATTTGAACAAAATGAAGAATTGGAGACTTAGAAAGTGCAGGTCCTGCCCAAAAAAAAATGGTTTTAAAACAAGAAACCCTAAGTTAAAGTACAATAAACAAGGGTGTTATATTTTAAAAGTAAGATTAAAATATTTCTGATAGAAAATAATTCTGAATGCTACCAATGACTTGAGGGCAAGAGAGAGAGAGGGCGGGGAAGGGTCTATTAGAGCCATAATCACTGAATATGAGGAAGGCAAGATCTATGCATTAAGATGTTGCATAGGCTACTATATAAGATTAAAGTTTTCACATTTATGGAAGAGCTTGGAGTGCACTGTCAGCACATAGTGTGTCTTTGGGTACTTTGGGTACTGGTAGGAGGTGACGTAGTAGTCGAGAGTTGATGGTAGTGAGGACATGTAGAAGATAACCAAGGTGAGAGAGAAGACAATATTCTTGGGCTGAGAAGATTTGCAATCTAATCTTGAACCTGGACGCTTAGGGTACAGTTGTGCTTATTTTGAAAGGGACAGATGTAAAATAGCTTTGTGAGACAGAAAAAGATCTTTTCAAATTGAAGAATATCTGGAAGAATCCTTCAGCATTGAAGGTATGACACACAAGTAAGGGGTTTCAGAAACTCAATAGGAAGTACAAAGAGGGATCAGAGGGTGAGTGTCTGTCTGTATTAGAGGAGACCACACAGGAGAATGGCTCATTGAGGTTAGTGAGTAAGACTGATAGGGAGAGAAGGGTACATGTCTGAAATACATTTTTCTTTTTACAAAATTTGCTTGCTGGAAAACACAGCGGATGTTTCAGTCTTCATTGTGTTTTGTGTATTTTAGGTTTGGGTCTACCTAACCTGGGTGCATCAAAAGCCTCACATCGACGACTTGGACTGAATGGTTAGCATCCCTAGAGTTCTATGAAGATATACTTCTACAGTTTGATGGAATTTCTTTCTTGAAAAAAAAAATTTCTCTGTAATATTTGTTTGTTGCAGCTCCTGCCTTTTGTCGACGATTCTTGAGTCTTAAAAATTCTGCCGAAACGAGGTGCAAGTCATGTTGTACCAGAGAAACTATCTTTGAACTCTCCTCAGAATGTCTCCATCAAGGTGCTCTTCATTCTGAAACTTTCTTTACCTAGGGAATGATTTATTAGATACTTCTACAGTTTGATGGAGTTTCTTTCTTGAAAAAGAATTTCTCTGTAATTTTTTTTGTCACAGATTATGCATCTTGTGTGCCATTGGCGATCAGTGAAGGTTCTGCTGGAATGATGACAAATTCATATTCTTCTACGAAGGAAACTACTGGTCAAATCTCCTCAGATTGTGTCCCTGAAGGTGCTCTTCATTCTGGAACTTTCTTTACATAGGGGGTGACTTATTAGAGGCAGCATGCGGGGCATGAGATATGATATTGCCATATTTTTGCCAGAATGGACCTAGCTTCATTAATTTACAATAACATTTCATATCTTTAAACGTTCTGTAGTCAAGCAACCTCTTTGTTTCCCCTTGGCAATCTCTGCCTACACAGTCCACCAGTCATCAGGGCCAGACCCCAGCAGATTCTGCTACCATTGTGTTTAGAACCCAGATCAACTGGCCACCCATCACAGATTAGAAATACTTGGTGGACTTCTTGCAGAAATCTCTCTACGGCCTCTTATTTCAGGAGACTTCCTCCAGTGGGCTGTGATCCATAAGTCCCCATGCCATCTCTCTTTCATTTCTTTTACAAAGGTTTTGAAGAAAGTGTTGTTCTGCAGCTGATTTCACTTCAAAAGGCAAATGGCTCCTGGGAGCTGGGCGAGAATCTGACCAAGATTTTGGGCACTAGTTTGGAAGACATCCAGGCTGCAAACCCTGCCAAGGTGAGATGCAAAGTGGAACAAAGGAAACGGTTTGAGTTTTGGGATGGGAGGATCATAATAGGGATCGGAATGAACGAGGGTCAGGCTGCGAAATAAGACATAAACAATACAGATAATGCAAACTGAAATGAATGTGTGATATATAGAAGATGCAATTATTTCCACTTAAGCCAGAGCATAAGAAACATGGAATTAATGGCCTAGCTGCAGAAAGGCATGGTCAGACTCATGGATGTCAAGGGGAAAGGAAATGCTCTTCTGTGTTAATCATATTCCCCGAGACAGAGTTGAAAAATAAACATTTTTATCTTCACACTATACCAGACAGTTTTAAACACATTATTATTATTATACTTTTTTCCTTATTGCAGTTAATTAAGACAAGTTCTAATTTTGAAGCTATGTATAGATGAAGAAATCGAACATCAAGAAGCTGAACTCTCTCTGCACCAGTGATGCAGAAGTAGAGTCAATGTTAAAATGCCCTCTCTTTGGAGATTCCAGTAACAGCCCTAATATTGTTGTATTTGTGTTCTCAAATAAGCTGGATGAAGTACTCCTTCTTTAGAATTTTAAGATTACCCTCTGGATCTTCTAATACTATTTGAAAAAAAATCTCCTCTATAAAAGGCAGATGCCAACCAATAAAAAAATAAATATACTTCTGAATTATTAAAGTATGAAACACAATTAATTAAACTTCACACATTCTATGGACATACAACTTGTACACTATCTTTTAGTCATAGGTGGCTATTGAGCCTATGAAATATAGATAATACAAATGAGATATGAATTTATTGTTCAATGGAGGCATCTATGCTGGAAAATACAAACTGACTTAAATATTTAGTGTAAAAATATAGGAATATTTCTTCAAAATTATTTCATGCTAACTTCTTGTCAAAATGATGTCTGTTTTAACAATAAAAAAATCTTCTAATACTTAGATAAGTAGATCACCAAGAAAAACTCAGTTCAAGCATACAGGAGGCCATGAATTCAATTCAATAAAATCAAATAGTAAAGTAGGAAAATATCACATGTTATCTAAAGTTCAATTGAAAATTTGAAAATTATTTTTATTTTTTATTATTTTTAGTATTTTACACTCTGGACACTGAATCTCCTCCCTCCTTGATCCCAGTTCTTCCCCTTCCTCCCCTCTGAACCTCCCCATCCACTCCTCCTCAGTTTCTATTCAGAGAAAATATGGCATATCAAGTTGTAATAAGACTTAGGCACCTCCCATCCTATTAAGGCTTCATATGGCAAATCAGTATGAGAAATAGGGCCCTAAGAGCTGGCGAAAGAACCAGAGACAGCCCCTGCTTCCACTGAAGATCAAGCTACATAACTGTCATATATATTAGCTTGTAGTCCTGTGTCAATCAATCCCATGCTGGCTCCCTAGATGTCAGTTCAGTCTCTGTAAGCTCCTATGATTCCAGGTTAGTTGATTCTGTGGGTTTGAGTCCTTTGACTAAAAAAAAAAAAAAAAAAGTCCTTCTTTCCAGTCTTTGGAAGGATTCTCCAAGCTCTCTAATGTTTGGCTGTTTATCTCTGCACCTATTTTCATCAGTTGCTGGATGAAGCCTCTCTGATGACAATCGGGGAAGGCACCAATCTGTGAGCATAGCAGAATATCATTAGGCATCATTACATTGTCTTTTTTTCCAGTCCTGTTTGGTTCTATCCTAGGTCTTTGGGCTAGTTTGACTCTGGGTCCTGGCATTCCAGGCAGTGTAAGGGGTGAGATCACACTCATGGCATTGGTCTTAGGCTGTATCAGTCATTCGTTGGCCACTCCCACAATTCCAGTGCCACCTTTGCTCCAACATATCTTGTAGGCATGACAAATAGTAGGTTGAAGGTTGTGTGGTGTCACAATCCATCCACCGGAAGTTTTGACTGGTTACAGTTCAGGCTACATATCCCTTATTGCTAGGAGTCTTACTAGGGTTACCCTTGCAGATTCCTGGGAATTTCTCTTGTACCAAGTTTTGACCTGTCTCCAAAATGCTCCCCCTTTCCAGTAATCCCTTTTAGTACCTTTCCCCTCTACCCATTCCATATCCCTCCTGTCCCTTCTTGTTCTCACTCCCTCCTGCCCCCAGTACACCTATGAAATAATCTATTCTATTTCCCCTTCCCAGGGAGAGCAAAGTGTTCCCAGATACTTAGCATCTCTGAGTCTTTGAGTTATAGAATGTTTTTCCTTTTCATTATAGCTAATATCCACTTATGAATGAGGACAAATCACATTTGTCTTTCTGGGTCTGGGTTGCCTCACTCCGGATGATTTTTTTCCTAGTTCAATCCATTTACCAGCAAGTTTCTTGATGTGATTGTTTTTAACAGCTAAATAATACTCCATAGTGTAAATGTACAGTTTCTTTATCCATTCTTTGCTTGAGGGTCATCTAGGTCATTTCCAGTTTCTGGTTATTATGAATAAAGCTGCTATGATCATAGTTGAGCAAGTATCACTGTGGTATGCAGCATTCTCTGCATATATGCAAAGAGTGGTATAGCTGGATCTTGAGGTAGATAGATTCCCATTCTTTTTCTGAGAAAATGCCCTGTTGACTTCCAAAGTGGCTGTACAGTTTTGCACTCTCATCAGTAATGGTGGAGTATTTCCCTTGGTCCACATCCTCTTTAGCATAAGCTGTCACTTGTGTTTTTGTTCTTAGCCATTCTAACATGTGTAAGTTGGAATCTCCGAGCAGTTTTGACTTGTTTTACCATGGTGGCTAAGGATGTTGAACATTTTTAAAGTGTTTCTCATCCATTTGGAATTCCTGTATTGAGAATTCTCTATTCAGATCTGTACCTATTTTTTAAATGGATTATTTTGTTTGTTGATTTCTCATTTCTTGAGTTCTTTATATATTTTGGAAATCTACCCTTTGTCAGATATGAGGCTGGGAAAGATCTTTTTCTATTCCATAGGCTGCTTTTTTGTCTTATTTACAGTGTCCTTTGCCTTACAGAAGCTTTTCAGTATCATGAGATCCCGTTTCTTAATTTCCAGTTTTAGTGCCCACATGATTGGTGTTCTGTTCAGGGAGTTTTTTTCTGGTGCCAGTGTGATTAAGGTCAGGTTGGGTTTCATGGTCCTGCAGGGGGCCCTGTTGAAATCTGTGGCCCATGTTACCACTGAAGGCCATGTGGATATCCATGGTTTGTGCTGCCACCTAAATCAATGCTGATGTCCATGGGTATGGTTGCCTCCAGGGACCATATTAGTGTCTGTGGCCCATCTTGCACTGAGGCCATATTGATATCCACACTGAAGTCTGTGGCACCTTCTAAAGTCTGAGACCATGTGAATGTCAGTGATTGGTGCTGTCACCAGAAATCACGTGGACATCCATGCCTTATGCTCCAGCTGACTGTAAAGGGCAAAGTAGCTCCTTTTACAGTGTATTGATAACTGCAGACTCACAGTTGAGAATGAGAAACACAGAAAACTTCTGTGACAAAGTCTCTTCCTCCCACAATCCAAACAAAAAGAAACAGCGTTGACAGGAGGCCATTGAGAAGAACTGTTTGTGGAACCACTAGCAGTGGAACCAGTACTTATCCCTAGTGCATCAGCTAGGGTTCCTTGGAGCCCATTCCCTAAGAAGAGATACCTTGCTCAGCTTAGAAACCTTGGTTCTTCCTCTAGTGATGTGACAGACTTTGTTGACTCTCCAAATGAGGAATTACTGTCTCTGAGGAGTAGATGGGAGTGCGGTAGGGAGAAGGAGAGAGGAGTAGGAGGACTGGAGAGAGAGGGAACTGGGATTGGCTTATAAAATAAGATTGTTTTAGAGGTAAAAATATAAAAAAAAGAATAAGAAAAAATTGCAATAAGGAGGCTGATGTGTAGCTCTCCATAACTGACGGCTTCTGACAGTGGCAGTGGGAAAGGACTCAGTTTTCTTTAAAGCACTAGCCACTGGAAATGGAGCCATGTTCCAGTGAGTATACAGGCAACAGGAATTGGACTTGTTTCTTTTCTTTTGGTGGTGATATCACAAGAGTGGGAGAGCAGACATGGTAGGATTTTGAAGTTAGTGGAATAGAAGGCTGCTTGTTTATTCCCAGCTGCTCAGCCCTAAAATAGCCATACAGGAACTGTATTAATTAAATAACTGCTAGGCCTACTAGCTCTAGCTTCTTATTTGTTGGCTCTTACTTCTTAGCTTAACCCATTTCTATTAATCTGTGTATCACCACATGACTATGGTTTGCCAGCAAGTTTCGGGCTAGTCTGTTCTAGGCGACAGCTACATGGCATCCCTTTGACTCTGCCTTCTTTTTTCCAGTATTCAGTTTAGTTTTCCCTGCCTACTTCTATTCTGCCCTGCCCAGGCCCAAGGCAGTCCTTTGTTAACCAATGATATTCACAGCATACGGAGGGGAATGCCACATCAGAGGTGTATATGTAAAAACCCCCACATAATAAATATAAATATTATGTTGGGGGAAAAAAGAAAATACATTTTAAAAATCAGTGTGATTTTTGCATCTAGTCCTTAGAAACATATTTTTGAAGTTTTATGTCCCTGGCTTAAGTGTTCATCTTATGAAACAGATTAAAGCAAGTGGGAAAATTGACATGTAATGAGACTGCGCAGAGTAAAATAATAAGTGTTTAAAATGTCTCAAAAAGCAGGTTGCAGCAGTAGTCTAGAATGAGTTACCATGGTTTTGATATCGTCCTATCAACATACACATACACACACATGAAGAGAGAGAGGCGGGGTGACTAAGACAGATACAGAAACACCACACACCTAGTACTTTTCTAAGTGGTATGGAATGTAATCCTGAGGCTTTATTAGTCTGTGTGGTAAGGAGGGGGTAGGGAATTATATATGTATCAGATTAAGTTGATGAGGAAGTTGATAGTAAATCTACTTTCTCTTGAGTGGATTGCTATAATTCCTGGAGCATTACAAAAGTTTCTGTCTCTTTTGAAGGATGGAGACCCATCAGTGTGGGCCACAGTACTGGCTGTCCTCTGGCTGCATGGCAATGGCAAGGACTTGAAGTGTGAGTGGGAACTTCTGGAAAGGAAGGCTGTGGCCTGGCTTCATGACCATGCAGGTAGGAGCACATCCCCCTCCTTCCTTTCCCCTCTTTCCCAGATGTGTCTTAAGAACTATGTCTGTATGTGAGGCAGAGGGTGAGTGCTAGAGAGACCACATTGTTGCCCTTACCATCCTATCTTAGAGCATTGTCTGTCCCCTGTGATAATCCTTCCTTTTCAAGATTAGGATGAAATATGTATTTAGTGGATGGAACAAGCTGAGCAGAGGGAGGGAGCATAAATGTAGATACTTAGCCAAGCAAAATTAACCCTACAGATGTAACCAGTATTCCTGGATATTTATTGTATCCTTATTGCCCTGTTCCTGTGGACAGGATAGACTAAAGGAGAATCAGAACAAGAAAGGGGAAAGACCAGGAGTAGTGCAGGAAGGTAAATCAGGGTTGAAGGGGTTGAAAGGAATAGTTAAGGAAAGCTGAAGAAAACCCTCTCTTTCTTTCTTGTCCCATAGATCTGACTCTTGTTTCCCCTCCTCACAGGTTCCTCCATCCCGATGCTCGTGCAAGCTGGCAGTAATCTCCTGAAGTTACCTGTGACCCCAGCTGTCTTTGGCTTCTGAGGATGCCACCCATGTTTCCTAGCTACCACCAATTCCCTCACTTTCACATTGGCTGAGATAGCTTTTGGGTTCTATCTTTACCTTCTTTTTTCTTGTCATAACATTAAAGGACTTCCCCACAACCTTGCTTATCTATTTCAAGCACCTTTGGATCTCATATTCTGCCCTCATCCCTTCCTCTGCAAGAAGTTATTATGGTCCCCTAACATGTTTTCTTCAATACATCTTTTATTATATTCACATGCAGAATGACATTTGAAGTTTTCCAGAGAAATTACAATTAAATAGGTGGCATAGTCTTGAGTAGCCCTGTGCCATTAATCCTGGGCAATGCTTAAATTAATAATCTGCATTATTGTTATCCACTCAGTTTTGTTCTTTTATTATTGAGGATCATAGTAGTAACGTTTATGTTCACAAGAGCAGGAATTGGATGAAAGTTGAAAATCAATATCAATACAACAAATACAGCAATATAACAAAGAGATAGACCAAAGTCATACATTACCCATTTCAGAACTGCTATGAAGATCATGAACTGATTCCATTTATGTTTTTGACTATATTACATGTCTTTATTTCTGTTTCCTAAGTATTTTGGTTTAACTAATACTATGAGAATAGTGTTTCTGCATAAGCTCTAAACACCTTGTAAGTTGGCTGTGAGTCCTCAGAGTTAGACTGTGCTATGAGATTCCTAGCCAGGCTCAAGGCAAGTGTTAGAAAAGAACATTTGCTATGGTTGAAAGTAAAAAAATAGCTAGGATTTAAAATTATCATGCCAATAAGTGTTCTTTCTTCTTTTCTGTCACTGTGACAAAATATTTGAGAAAATTAACTCAAGGTAGAAAAGATTTTGGATGGGGGATGACCTGCTGGGTAAATTACAAACATGAAAACCTGAGGACCCGAATTTGGATTCTTGGAGTCTATATAATAAAATAGATATGGTAGATCTGCCTCTAATCTCTGCATTTACAGACACAGAGAGAAGATTCCTGAAGCTCACTGGCCAGCCTGTCTAGATAATGGGTGATCTCCAAGCTCAGTGAGAACCTTATAGTGGTATATTATTTGTGTTTATTAAAATAAAGTTTGCATAAAGATCAGAGTGCAAAGCAAGCCACACTAGTCAGCCATATAGGCCAGGAGGTGGTGGGGCACACTTTTAATCCCAGCATCATTAGAAAGGAATAGAAGATGGGAGGACAGAATCTCAGGGGTTCAGTCTCAGTTCTGTTGGGAGAGCAGTGAAGTCGGAGTTTTGGTGGATTGCTCCTTTGGTCTGAGTATTTGTAGAGGAGAGACCTCTCTATTGGCTTGACTGTTTTGCTTTTCTGATCTCCAACTTGAACCTCAATATTTTTCTCTGGGTTTTTATTTTTTTGTGTTACAGAAACTGTCTCCCAAGTAAGGTGGAAGTGATAGAAGGAGATTTCCATTCTTTCCTTAGCAGTTATTTATGATAGCTGTGCTGTAGATTGCAAGTGAATGAATTTAGTAAGTCTTCAAGAGGTGAAAGTAAAGGAACAGTTGGCAGACAGCAGGTAGGCAGCAAAATATCATCAAATCTGGAACTTACAATGTTCCTCAGATGTGACTAGGTGAGCCTAGATGAGGCCTAAGAGTTCCTGACCTAGATTCCTAGGCACAACACAGCCTCCCAGTGGGTGAGAATGGTAAGCAAAAAATCAAATTCAAAGTATCAGATAGACAGAAAAACATCATCAACTTAGGTGTTTACAATATCTGATAGAAAGGACCTGAGAGGCCGTGATGAATGTTAGGGTATAGCTCCTGATCCAAATGTCTCCAGGAGACCATTATATCAAAGAGCTTTCAGTGTCTCCTTCACATTTCTGGAATTTTTATATCATGGGCTAAAGAATAGTAACCCCAATAGAAAATGATTTATAATATAACTATTCTCTCATGTCCATTGTTCTTAGTACCCTTAGCTGTTTTCTTTTCTTCCTTTTTCTGTGTTTGTCTCAGCCTCAGGAGCCTAGACTGCTCTTGGACAAGGCGTCTTGGAGGACAGGAGATAAACAGAGTTAACTGTGAGACAAGGGCTGTCCATCTTGTCTTTTTTTAAATCTTTATATTATATTTTTTAAAAAAATCTATCTTTTCTCCTTTTACATACCAATGCCAGTTCCCACTCCCTCTCCTCTTACATCTTCCACCTTCCCCCCACATCTACACCTCAGAGAGAGTAAGGCTTTTCATGCGAAGTCAACAAACTCAAGCACATTGCTCTGAGAAAGGACCAAGGCCCTGCCTACAATATCTCCAAAGAGAATGGGTTCCAAAACGTCAGTACAAGCAGTAGGGATAAATCCTGCTCCCATTGCCAGTGGCCCCACAGTCTGCCCCAGCCATGCAAATATCACCCATATTCAGAGGGCCTAGTTTAGTCCTATGATGGTTTCTTCACTGTCAGGTGCAGTGGTGAGCTCCCATTAGCACAGGTAAGCTGTTTCAGTGAGTATCCCTATAATGGTCTTGACTCTTTGATCATAATCTCACTTCTCCCACTCTTCTACTGGAGTTTGGGAGCTCAGCCCAGTGCTCTGCTGTGGATCTCTACCTCCGCTTCCATCAGTTGCTGAATAAAGGTTCTATGATGACATTTAATATATTTGTCTATCTGAATGCAGGGCAAGGTCACCTTTTGCTTAGGGTCTTATCTAAGGTCATTCTTGTGGATTCCTGTGAATTTCTCTAGTGCTATGTTTCTTGTTAACCTCATATGGCTCTCTCACAAAGATAACTCTTTCTTTGCTCTCCATCTTTGTTCTTCCCTCATCACCACTATCCCATTTCTTCAAGATCTTCTCCCTGTCCCCTTCTCCCGTCTTCTGTCCCTTCTGTACTCCCTTCTCCCCACACCCACATGCTCCCATTTTTCTCAAGAGGACTTGTTTATTTCCCCTTCCCAGAGGGAATCTATATATGTTTCTCTAAGGGTTCTCCTTGTTACTGAGCTTCTCTGGGGTTGTGATCTCTAGGCTCATTATCTTTTGCTTTACAGCTGGTATCCACATATTAGTAATTACATACTGTGCTCATCTTTCTGGGTCTGGGTTGCCTCACTCAGATTTTTTTTCTAGTTCCATCCATTTGCATACAAATTTCAAGATGTCAGTATTTTTTTACCACTGAGTAGTACTCCATTGTGTAAACGTATCACATTTTCTTTATCCATTCTTCAGACAATCTAGAAGACATCTAGAAGATGTCCCTTCCATGTTTTGACTATTATAAAAAATACTCCTATGAACATAGCTGAACAAATGTCCTTGTAGTATGATTGAGCATCTTTGGGTATATGTTGTGCTTAAGGTCCTTTAACTCCCAATTTTCTGAGAAACCACCATACTGATTTGCTACAAGGGGTATTCCCCTTATTCTTTATCCTCTCCAGCAGAAGCTATCATTGGTGTTTTGATTTTAGATATTCTGACAGATGTAAAATGGAATTTCAGAGTCATTTTGATTTGCATTTCCCTGATTGCTAAAGATATTGAACATTTCCTTAAGTGTCTTTCAGCCACTTGAGATTCTTCTATCGAAAATTCTGTTTAGATCTGAACCCTATTTATTAAAATTGGATTATTTGATATTTTAATGTCTAATTTCTTGAGTTCTTTTATTTTTTGGAGTTTAGTCCTCTGTCTGATGTGAGGTTGGTGAAAATCTTTTCCCATTCAGTAGGCTGCCTTTTTTGTCTTACTGACTCTTCTTGGCTTTACAGAATGTTCTCAGTATCAAGAGATCCCATTTATTTCTTGTTGCTCTCAGTGTCTATGCTAATGGGGTTATATTTAGGAAGTGGTCTCCTGTGTCCATGCATTGAAGGCTACTTCCTACTTTCTCTTCTATCAGGTTAAGTGTGGTTGGATTTATATTGAGGTCTTTAATCCATTTGGACTTGAGTTTTGTGTATGAGGATAACTATGGATCTATTTTCATTCTTCTACATGTTGACATCCAGTTATTCCAGCACTAGTTGTTGAAGATGATTTCATTTTTCCATTGTATAATTTTAGATTCTTTGTCAAAAATCAGGTGTTCTGTTGGCTGTAAATGGTAGGTAATGCAGAGATTTTATGTAGCTATAAGTCTGAGGATAAAAATGAGTGTTGGGTCTTATGCTGGCCCTCTGGATCATCCTCAATAAAGCTCAGTGAACACTTCAGAAGAAGAAAGAAAATATATAACACTCAGAAGATGGTAAGGAATGCTGTAAAACATATCTTCTCAATGTAATCTGACACTCATGAACTCATTAGAACTAGATATTTGTACAAGATTGTACTTTTCAACATTAAATCATGAATATGGAAAATTTCATGAGATCTCACACTTACCTAAGGAACTATGAGTAGTTAATGGGTAATAGGAAATATGGCATGGTTTTCTTCAGTTCTGCAGTCACTGTTGTCTATTGCTGTATGAACACAAAGAATCACCTTCTACATATGCTGATGCAAGCAGCCGTAGTTAAATTTAGTGGGTCACACACACACAAAAAAGTAATATAAAAGTAGGAAGAAGAGGACTGCTGAGAAGAAGAGTTTCAGCAAGAGAGAATGGGATAGCTGGGAGAAAATGAAAATGATCAAATTCATCATGTGCTTTATTAAACTGTTATAGAAAAAAGAGTATAGTAGCATAAAAGTGAATGATTTTGAGGTAAAATTCAATGATGGAATATGCTGTGGGACAATGGTCTTTTACTCTGTAAAGATTTGTCACTTGTATTGGTTTAATAAAATACTGATTGGACAGTAGCCAGGCAGGATGTATAGGCAGAGCAACCAGAACAGGAATTCTAGGAAGAGGAAAAGTTCAGTTTACAGCCCTCACCCAGATGTGGAGGAAGCAAGATGAGAATGCCTCACTGATAAAAGGTACCAAACCACATGGCTAACACAGGCAAGAATTATGGGTTATTTTAGATGAAAGATTTAGTTAATAAGAAAGCACGGGTAATAGGCTAATCAGTTTTTTAATTAATGTAGGCCTTTGTGTTTTCTTTGGGAGTAAACAGCTGTGGGACTGGGCGTGACAGAAACCTCTGTCAACAGGAATATATTAAAATGAGATAATATGAGGTTATAACCATTAAGTAACAAGAGTATCCCCCAAAGGAAAAAAAGAACATAAAATAAAAACTAAGTTTATAGCCTCTGACAACTTAAATAATGGAATTTATCTTTAGGTTACATTTGGTGTGGCTGTGATTGTCTTGTGTGCTTATCAGTAGCCTATACTAAAGTTTTGTAAGAAGGTCTGTAAGCTCTGAGTCATTGTATCATTTATCCTCCCTTTCTCAAGTCTAGTCTAGTTTTGGGGTTTTCAGGTTGTTATTGGTAAGTGTTACTAGACATCATTGTGCTGTTGGCTCTCCATTCATTCACTGAGGCCAGGTTGTTTTCAATATTTTAACTACATCCCTTTTGTTCCTAAGGTCAGTTGTGGAGGCCTCTTGTTACTCACACTACTTCTACAAATTAGGCCATCAACTGGGTGGGGTGAGTCAGGGTCTTGTCAACAATGCTGCTTCCCTTGGAAGCACTGAAGATACTTGCCTCTATATTCACCCTTTAGACCTTTAACGAATTTGCGCAGAGTAAAGTCCTATTTCTGGGGTCTATATGGCCTCTCAGACCAAGAGATTTTTTTGAGAAGATGAATTCTCACAGTTTCAGGCTACATTCGAAGATGTCTCATCTTTCCAGGAAATCTACCTGGTGTAGGGGAAACTCCTAAAACATTGACTTGTCACAGTAGATTCTCATTGATTTTGGCTTTTCAACAATCAAATGTGGTTGTCAAACACCCAGAAGGTCAGTTACACCAAAATTGAATAATAAAGTGTGGTTTAAAATTTAGCTGATGTGTAACACTTAGCTGAAGCCCAACAAGGACAAATTGGTAAATGATACT